AAAAAAAAAAAAAAATCAGCAAAAATATGGGCAATCGACGTGAAGCCCAGTTGCACTGAGATGCAAAATTATATAACAACTGGAGAAAAAATAACCGCTGCTGGCAAAAAAAAAAAATTGGAGAAAACTGTTATTTTGAAAAAATTCTCCGTATTTCACTCAACAAAAAAACAAATGCACGCAGCTCAATGAGACCCAAGTAAAAATTCACATTGTAAGGCTTCACTGATGATTATTCTAAGAGAATTACTTGGAACATAAGTTGCAAATATTTCAAATTCCAATCATGCCCATTCAAACTTATCGAAAAAAAAAGAACTGTGAAGACCTGCCTTAGTAGCAATGCGTTTTTTGAAAAATTTAGACAAAAAAGCCGATCAACTTTGAATTCGTCGAAAATATCAATTTAATCAACAACGAGTTTCGATTCACTAACACATGAATGCTGAACCAATTAAAATCAATGAAAATATAAATGCTCACTTATTAACAACCATATCATTGTCTTTGTTGATGGCTTTCATTCCTCTCAGTATGTACGATCCAGCAAAACTGCTATGCCTGCTTGGTATACACAGTCGCTTATCCAATTGCTTTTCGATCTCCTGTGCAACGACTCGCCGTGTTTCAAGCTCCTGCTTGTTCTTCTCTTCTGTCAGAGACATCTGACCTGCTTCGACGACATCTTTAGCTTCCTAAATTCAGCGGTCATGGCACATATGCAGTCGCAAATAAAAAACAGATAGCTGTATGGTCTAAACGAAATTTGGCCGTCGGTTTGTGTCTCTCACACGGAGGGACACAAACCGACGGCCAAGTCATCTAAACGCATATTTATCATTGCCAAATCATTTAGGCGAATTTATCATCATTCGAGCACAAACAATGCCGATCAAAGCGTCCTAAGGGACAAATATCACTGGCACTAGAAGGCCAGTTTGAAAGTTGCAATAAACTGATTTAAACACAGAAGCAATTAATCTACATGCTTGCAGTTTTAAAAAGCCAAAAGTTGTCATTTATCAGGCAGTTACCTTTACAAAAACAGTGGACGAATAATCCTACATTGACAACTACGATATTCATACATTTCCTACCTACTTTAATACGCCACCGCCCAATTTTCATTTCTGGCCTTTCCTAATTCATTTTGTCCGCCATCCTTTTTCATTATGCTTCTCTTCATTCCTTTAAAATCACTTACAATCAACTCGTGCTGCCTATTCCTCAAGCTTCATTCTCTTATGCGTTTTTTGCAGCTATGCAATGCAGAAAACGCAAACTGACGAGAGGTTGTCTCTGTGTGTGTGTCTGTGTGTTCGTCTGTACCGATTTTTCATCTCGAGACCGGCAAAAGCTACAAGGC